GCAGGCGGCAGGCGGGAATCGAACTCATGCGGAAGTGGCTTCAGATTCTCAGTGCTGTGCTTTAACCCGCTGCGCCACCAGGGAGGGCCTTAAATAACTTTTTAATTGTACAAATGTTAACCTTTTCCAGTGCTTCTTTTACTTAATAAAGCATATATCCAACAAAAACAACAACCTGAGTTTTATAATACCTTGGACACTTATGTAGTTACTTGATTTCTATACGTGACTTGTTGAGGAAAAAAAGAGGACAATGGCATTTGAACTGAAACCTTTGAAGTGTGATGGATTTAGATAGCTAGGATTGCACCTGTGAAACTGAGTGGCCTTTATTGGACTAGTTTGGATTTCTCTATATATTGTGTAGAATAGCATAGAACCATGACTCAAAAAGCAAAGTAACTATATTGCAAACTAAGTAAAAATATTTTGTGTTTTCCAATATTTTGTGTCAAACTGAATGCCTGTGTGTGTATAGGCACACACACACTATGTGCCAGCTGTTACTTTATGAGATGGTGGGATCATTACTTTATGATCATTTTGTAGATGAGGATATTAAGGCACGGAGAGGTTAAGTAACTATTCTCATAGCTAGTAAACACCAGGAGCCAGACTCTAAATCCATATTAGTTAACTTTAGAAATATGTTCCTAGTCACTTTTTTATGTTACTTGTCTTAAGTATTATATGTGTATTTCCTATTTTTAGGTCTTTATTGTTTAATAAAGTTCTTTGAAAGCTTTGTCTTGTCCAGGGACCGAGAGAAAGTTCATTGTTGCTGGGAGGAAGGAGTGTTAAGGAAGAAACAGTCACTTTGTGGTGACTGTGATACTGTGATGGCATTAGGGCAAGAGGGGTAAAAGAGAAATTGAGACGCAGGGTGCAGATCAGAACAGTCAGGTAAACTGTCTCTCCTCTGCTTTGAGATTTGTTTTATTAAGTATGGAGGTGATTCCCTCATCCTTTCTCATATTGCTTTGAAGATTAAGTGAGCTATAGTGTCAAAACCCAACAGGGGACTTGGCATATAACACAGTTGCTTTGCATATTTGGTTCTTTTCAAGAACTTCAGAGCTCCATTCACTGGCAGAAAGGAAGGGCTTGATCCATTCCAATAAACATATAGCTCAGAATAAACAAATAGCCAAAATAAACAGAAGACCTTTCACACTCATCTGTGTATGGTATAGAAATCTGTAATAGATTGTATGAGACTCTTAACTTTTGATAAGAAATAACACTGGGTGAGAGACTTTGACATTTTTGCTTCAAGTAATTCTTAGTTAATTTCTGTATTGAAAGTATTGGGACTTTTTCAGTTTCTAGTTTTAACCTTTGGAAAATGTGTGTCCTCAAAGAGCTGGTTTCAAAGCACAACCAGTATTTGTCAAGTGTCTTAGAACATTGTTTTATTGTCTACTTGATTTCTGTCTGAATCCTCTGTGACTCCTAATGAAGTTACCATTGTTGCTAAGAAAACTTTTTTTCTACCCACGTCTGTTCACAGTAAGGGTCCTGCAAATTAACTGGCAATAGCTAGTTTAACAAGAGAAAAGACAAGGTTTATTTCTGCTTGCATTGGAAATTCTAATGAGCAACTCGTTGAATAGTCAGACATAAAACGTGTTTATATACTAACCCAACAAAAAGAGAGTCATCTTAGGGCTTCAGTGGAAGGGTCTGTTGGGCTTTTTGCCTCTAATTTGTGCTGAATTTGTGCACGAGACTATCCCATACTGTCAATTATTTTCCATTCTGGAAACTCCCTGGGCAGGATTAAGGAGGTGAGAAGGGGGGATCAATGATCTCCCTATTAAATATATATAATAAATCAGTGGTTTTCAAATCTTGGTGTTTATCATAATTACCTGAAGATCTAAATCCAAAAGCCTGGGCTGGTGAGTATGGGATAGGTCTGAGTTTGTAAATGTGTGTGTCTTCAACTTTTAGCCAAATTTCCCAGATGATTCTGTTACCACCAAATCAGGGTCCTGGGCCTACCACTAAAATGTCTGGTTATGAATCTGCACTTCCAATAAATTCCCAGCTGCTACTAATCAAGGGA